GTGAGCATATATATATATATACGTGTGTGTATTTATGTATGCATGCATGCATGCATGTATGGATGGATGGATGTCTGGATGTATGTGTATGTATGTATGTATGTATGTATGTATGTATGTAATTATGTATATAGGTATGTATGTATGTATGTATGTATGTATGCATGTATGCATGTACATATGCACATATGTATATGTATATGTACATGTATATGTATATGTTTATGTATATGCATATGTATATGTGTATGTGTATGTGTATGTGTATGTGTATGTATGTATGTATGTATGTATATATATATATATTCATACACATGTATATAAAGACAAGCATACACACGTATGTATGTATGTATATATATATATAGGTAGGCATATAGTTATGTTACATGTATTATATTATACACATACACATATACATACATACATACATACATCCATCCATCCATCCTTCCATCCATCCATCCATCCATCCATCCATCCATGCATGCATGCATGCATGCATGCACACATACACACATACACACATACACAAATATACACATGCACACACATGCACACGTACACACATACATACAGACATACAGACATACAGACATACAGACATACAGACATACAGACATACATACATACATACATACATACAATAAAAGAATGCTCTGTGCGTGTGTCTGAGAACATACACGCTTGCTCCCGTAGCCACAAGTTCCCTGAAAGATCACCACAGAAAGCGGACCTGTTCTCGCCAGCCGCCTCTGCAGCTCGTGCCTCCTCGCAGCTCTTCAGATGTCGGACCCTATCGGCCCTATCGTTTTTGCTTTAACACATGGCATGCTCTGTTGCACGTACTGGGAAGAAGATTCTCAGATGGAGATGGAAACCTAAATGCTGCATCTGAAACGACAAAGGCACCCAGACAGTGTTCTGGAAGCCTTGGTGGCGCTTCTGAATGGCTGAAGCTCGCAATACCAGCTGGCTATAGAATCCCACAAGAACTGGAACCCGGGAGGCCTGGGACGCAGTCTCGACTTTCTGTCGGTTTCGCTCGCGCGTTTGCAAAGGAGGCGTGCGGGCCTCGCGCATGGCTCGTGAGATTGAAAGCGGCTTGGATCTTGGGCGCCTAACGGCCTAACGACCTGATCTGGCTGTGTTGCAGGAAAGCATCCGATTCTCTGGATAGGACAGCCGCGCAGAGCGCTCGAGACGTGCGCGTCAAAGTTCCTCAACTTCAATACCGAACAAGCTGAGGCCCGAGCCCTGGTCACGGCCTTCGGGCGTCGGGGCGCCGAGCTCGGCCGACCTCGAGGGTGGGCCCTCGCAGCCCCGGCCCCGGAACTCCAATCTTCCTGTAGTCTAAGCGCCTACGTCATCGACAGCTTTGTTTTTCTGCTACCGAAAGAGGAGGTGGAAAGGCGAGATTGGCGGGCGAGGTCCTCATGTCGCGGCTGAGTCTTCGGGAAAATGTTCTTAGTGTGAGTGGCATACCCGCAACCGTTGATGTTTTGCAGTCGATGCAAAGGCATGCAGAGGCTCCCCTGTAACACAGAGAGACGTGGACTATGTGATAGATCCACGCCAAGCATCTCTCAAAGCCTGCTTGCACAGCGTTTGCGCAAAGCCGTAATGCCCAAGACATGCTTCCGCGATGCAACTTGCAATGCTCAACACAGGTCAAACCAGCTCTCACCGTGCCCACCCTTGCTGTGGCGGCCTGCAGGGGCGGGGGGTCCACGCTGTAGAATCGCAACTCTGCCTCAGTACCCCTCCCAAAATCTCGAATATGGCCAGGATAGCAGAGCACACACGCAAACGCTTGTATGCATTGGCTTCGCCGTAACAGGAGGAACGTCATACAGTGACGGTGCGCCGCGGATCGGCCGCGATGACTCCCTCCGAACACTGCAAGCATGCCCTTCGCTTTCAATTTGGGTCTGGCTTGCGCTCTTGGTTGGTTTCACTAGCAGCGGCGAAGGTCTGCAAAGATCTCACTGATGTCTTGAGCCTGGCAAACGGCCCGGGTGCCGGGCCAGTGCTCGGGCTCAAGGCGGGACTGCGGCCTAGGCTCGTCACCAAAGTGCTCTTAGTAGTGAGGTACTCGCAGATCTAGAAAGCTTGGGGACTGCGGCGAGGTGCGCAGACACAAGGCAGCTCACGCCAGAAAAGCATCGTTCTTCGGGACGTGCGTGCGGGTACAAGTTCGCAGGGAAACGGCTTTGTCGGCAGTTTAGGATTGTAGGGTTTATGGTTTAGCATCCACTGTTTCGAATGCTTTATGCTTTAGTCGGCCAAGTTTCTCTCAGCACACTCTACGTCATGGTACATTCAGGGTTCTGGGTTTGGAGTTTTATGGCTATGACAAGCTTCTTGCGGTTTTGGCTTTAGTTACCATAGAGGCATACCAAATTCACTGGCAAGACCGCCGAACACCAAGCAGAATCCCGGCGCGGCACATCTGTGTGAGCTGGGATACGTCCGGGCTGCACAAGCCACTTGACAAACAGACACACGAAAAAAAGAGTAGCTAACAAAAAAAAGAACAACAAAATGCACGCATCCAATGATTCACTGCCATGCGGAACGGACTTCGGACACTAGGCTCGCCACATAGCAACGCCGGCCTGAGCATTTGTGCGTTTGAAAGAAGTATCACACCTAGTCAAACCTTTGCATAATGCAATCTCGAACTGTCATCAGCAGATCTTGGAGGAGTGCTAGGCCTACTGGCAGCAATATCAGCTGCGCTGACGCTCTGTGCGTAGGACGGCCATGGACCCCATAACGCGAGTGCTCGTTGCCGGCGACAAGGGCCGAACTGGGTGCCCATGGGCTCAACTGCGCGGGACCTGAAGTGCCCGATTCCAAAAGAAGAACTCCACCGACAAAGATTCAGGGCATTGGGTATGGGACTCTGCGGATCTAAGGGTGCATGCTCTGCTAGTGTTGCTGATAAATAAATAAATAAGTATAAACAAACAAATAAATAAATATATATATGTATATGTATATTATGTAATGGGATATAGTCACTATCAGTCTTGGAAATGAAGTGGGCTTTTGTAGGGTTGGCACCGAAAGAAAAGCTCCGCAGCCTTGGGCGCAGTGGATTGATGAGGTTTTTGTTGCTCCTTGTTTCTACTGGTAGGGGGACGGGGGGAAGGCTCACCCCCCCCCTTTTATTGCGATGCTCGGATCACCCCGCACCGCCGAACGGAACCGACACGAAGCTGCAAGCCCGACGCAGCCTTGCGCCGAACCCTACCCAGGGCCTCCAGGAGTAGCACGGTCTTGGAGACGACGAGGCTGGGCCTTGCGGTTCTCACAAGGCCCCCAGCTTTGCAGGCATCTCATTTGTTGAGGGCTGGGGCTTGGGTGTAGGCTAGATGCTAGACTCGGATCTGGCCTACTGTAGCTGCGGATGGCAACCAGGACCCCAATTTTACTCAGTGCTCCTTTCAATACCTTCGATCCCACGATCCCGAATGGAAGCTAAACTCTGACACCTTTCCACAAACAACCTTCTCAGGTATGGACGTCCGTAGCGCTCCGTGAGGATGCCGCTTCGGATCACCTGGCACATGGGGCATTTGAATCTGCCATGCCTCCTGTGACGAACTTTCGGCTTGTCAACCATACGTGTACCAACGCTGTCCTTTCGCTTTCGCGATCCAATTGCAAAGCGCAGCCTCGAGCCCTCTCAGTCTGAGAATCCTTGTGCCTGCGTTGGTCCAGCGACTGAGGGAGGTCGGGTGGGAACGGCCAGCCTCGCAGCAAGGCCGAACTTCAGGGCTGGGCCTACCTCACACTCCCACCAGAGTCCTGGATATGGAGGCTTTGGCACAGTGCTGCTATCGGCTATGGCTCGCTGTGCGAGAACCTGTGCTTGACCTCAGTGACTCGCCGAATTATGCCATCCGCGCTTGCCACCATCCCATGTCGCTGCCCGGGTCCCTCTGTACGCCAAACCCTCTGCAAGCAGAGATCCCCAGCCGAAGCCATGAAGCCATGAAAAATTGGGCCTGTGCGGCAGTGCCGGCTGCCTTGGGGAAGCAGTCCATGCGCCTTGCGTCTGCCTCTGTTGCTGCTCGCAGCAGAGTGAGCTCATGAGCCCAACGAAGAGAAACCCTAGAAGCTTAGAAGAGGATGCAGGCTGCAGCGCATCGTGCAACTGTGGAATTGCAGCCTCCTACTTCAGCAGAGTGGCCCAAACCCTCATCAAGCGAACTAAACACAGAAGACTCCGAAGACATTGTCCGAAGATTTGCCTAGCCCAAAGTATGGCCCGAGCGTGGAGGGAGTGTAGGAATGGCTTTTCGTCAGCGACGCCTCACCAAAAGCGCTTCGATGGCACCCGCTCTGAGGCTGTTTGTTGTGAACTCCCTTTTTCTGCCCGTTGGGCTAATGTCCGGCTTCAAGGCAACACATCACATTCCATTTTTCCTACACCCTCGACTTGGCTGAAGCAAGATACGCCGGTCGCTCCAAAAAGGCAAAACCGCATTTCAGACCCTCTGGCACCAGACAAACTGAAGAAGGTCCGGATTAGCTCTACATGCTTCCAGCAATTGCAATAGCAGCAAAGCCCAACACAACTACTGCACGGTCAGATGTCATCACTAAAGCGGCTACCCTGCCAGTTTGTGGCTTTAGGCTTTATAGGGATGATTGAGGCAGCCTGGAATGTCCACATCATCAATGGCAACCGAACAGCGCGCTCGGCGCTCGAACCACTATCGGCTGCGACTGAGATGAGATGTGGCGGTCGTGCACTGCTTTACCTGTCCCATCGTGAGTCTAGAAACACAATACGCGGATGCAATGGTGGACGGTCCTTGAACAGTCGCCAGCTTTTGCACCCTCAGGGCCGATTCCTTTCCTTTCGTGATCCCTGGCCTCGCTGGTGCTTGCGACACGTCGTAGAAGGGGCGGCTTTGCTCATCTCCTTGGAGTCGTTCGGATGTCCATCTCGGGATCATTCTTCTTGTCTTTGGACTCCCCTAATGCTAACCCAGCAGGCGAGAAATCGCGGACTCGATGTCCCAGTGGGCTGCCTCCAGGGCACTCCGCGCCATCGCATTTGTGAACCCCATGGACGTTATCTGATCCACAAGCTGCTGCTGCATCGCTGGCGTTACAGCTGGAGCAGCAGCCGGAGCTTGCTGGAAGCTCGTTGCAGGTCCAGACGCTTGTTGGACGAAATTTGCTATGTCCGGAAGTTCTGCAGCACCGATGCCGCCATGCTGCTTTGCGAAGTCCAAAGCAACTTGCTGAGGATTATCACCCCGGTTCCAAGAAATGGTCAAGCGGCGTCCGTCTGCGACCTCAACAGGGAAGTTGAAGTCCTTTGGAGCGCTCGGGCCGTTCTGGCCGCCCTGCTGCATGGCCTGCATCACAAACGCCACGACGTCGCCTCACACAAGAAGTTTTCGTGCTGTCCGTGCTGGCTCATGCGCACAAGGGCCTGTGTGACGCGGATCCAACTGGTTCTCCCTGCCAACATCCCAAGCAAAGCTGCTCAAAACGTGGACAGGAAGCAAGATCTGCGCACCGAAACTATTGCACCTGATGAATCGCTCTGCAACGGCTTTCGGTTCTTCGCCCCGATTCCAAGATAGAGAGAACTTCTGCGAGCCGAAGTCCACCGGGAAGGTGAAATCAAAACTACCACTGCAGCCGCCACCCGGGCCTTTGCGCAAGCAGTGTTGCTGAAAAAACTCGCATGACGGCAAATGCGACCCTTGCGCCTGGCGTCGGCATCGCTGGTGCTCGCGTTGCAGTGAGAGCCGCCGCACGGGCACCGAAGTCCTCCCTGTCCGCCTGAGAGCCGCGTTCGGTGAAAGCCCGGAACGCAGGTCCCCGAGGTCCCCGTCTCCTGTGGCGCTGCGCGCGATGGGCTCCGAGTCCAGATGGTGCAACTGCAGTCGCCGCAGGCCACTGCCAAGTCACCGTTGGACAGGAAGCTGAGGCCATAGACCTCGGAAAGGAACCCGAATCTTCGGCCAGAAGATGCTGAAAGCCGAACGGCACCTCCCGCCTCGCCACAAACTTGGAAGCTCTCCTTCTGGCACAGGGATCTGCCTCGCGAGGCATTCTAAGGGTGACTCTACTGCACGGCTGCGAGGCCCGAGATGCGCCTTCGTGTGCGAGGATAAAGACTTGGCCGTCGGAGGTCCCAGCAGCGAGCTCGCCGCTCTCTCGTCGCGACAAGGAAAGCACATAGGACCTCAGAACAAGAACAGCATTTGGGACCCGCCAAGAGGGCCGGGCCCCGAGATGCGCTGCCAAGGCGCTCGGCAACCTGCCGCTCAGCCACAGCCTGGCCTGCGCTGAGAGAACCACAGAGAAGCAAAAGACACATTCTTCCCATCGTTCTTACTGGCGGCCAAGCTAGTAGAGGATGCCTGCACCGAAGGCGTCTGTTGCGATTATCTGTATTGGCCAGGGGCTTGTTGCAAGGGACTGGAAGATGGACCCCAAGAGTGCGTGCCTGTTGCTGCATCCCAGAGGCGCACGACACCATCATTTCCAGCGGCAGCCAGCAGCGTGCCACCGCATGCACAAAGTGCACGCACCACCTGCTTGAACCAATGAGCCTTTGAGTGATGGATCACATTGGTCAAACTGGGGCCTGTTTCGCCGGTATGCTGCGAAGCTTCCGGCCATCTCGCCAAATACCAATGGTCTGATCGCCACCTTGGCTCGACATGAAATGTGAATGAGGATCGGCATCCCATCCAGATAGCGGCGCCGCTAGGGGGTAAAGTTGCTAGGCTTCGCACTTCCGCTTGCAACGTCTCCAGTGTCCAGGCCAGCAACAGCATTGATTGCGATGTCATGGCCGGTCATGATGGCCGGCAGCTGGTCTTTCTTCCATACTCGCACCGTCTTATCCCAGCCACCTGATATCAGACGGCCGTCCGAAGTGCGACCAAGCGCAGACACAACATGGACATTCGTGCCCTGGATGTTCTCCCCGTGACCTTGGAATGAACTCTGGTCACTGGAGCAGGTTTCAATGCTTCCCGACTTTGTGCAAGTCGGCCTTTGAGGGTTTCCACGGCTTCTCCGTTTCTCCAGAGGATGATGGAGCCATCGCGGCCCGCCGAGACCAGGTCCACAGAGTCGTCGCCGCGGCAGAGAGCAAGCACGCCGTCAACTCCAGCTCTGCGCTGGTGCCCCGACAGCACTCTCACTCCATTGGCTGCATCCCAAAGGTGAACCAGGTTATCCTCGGGCTGGGCCGGGCTGGGCTAGCGTGCTGCTCTGCTCCAAGGTGCAATGCTTCTTGCAACTGAGCTTCCATTCCAGCGAAGGCCACTGAGCCGCCTTCCAGCGCAGCCACGCACCGAACCTCGCCTCGACAAGCAGAGAGGAGCGCGCTTAGCCTCCGCCACTGGAGCGAAGCGCGCCTTCTGCCCGAAACTCCGCGGAGAGCAGAAAGTCGCGGAGCGCGGCCAAGGCCTCGAGGACCTCCTCGGCGGAGGCCTGCGCTGCGCTGCGCTGCGCTGCGCTGCGCTGCGCTGCGCTGCGCTGCGCATCTCTTCTGGCGAGAGCCGAGAGCCGCTCCGAAAGAGAAGGCCGCCCCCCGCACGCCTTCACCTGCTCCGCCGGCCTCTCTGCAGGGACCTGGTACAGACCACGCACAAGGGGAGAGAGGGGAAGGCGTCTGCGGCGAGGGCGGCCTCCAAATGCTCTGCGGTCTTCAGGAATCCGGCGGCGAGGAGGAGATCTTCAGCACCGGGACAGCTCAAGGCCTTACCTTGGCGACTCGACATCGCTAGGATTCACCCTTGCTTCATGCTTCATCTGCTTGGCCCATCTGGGTACCTGGCTGATCTTTGGGTTCACGAGTTTCACCTTCCGAAACTTCTCCTCATCTGCCGAGCCCGGCAAGCGTTCCTCCAACCTCTTAGCCTTCTATCCGCGCTCAGAACTTGTCCGTGAAAATGCGTAACAGTCTGTTGGTTTCTCCTGAGCACGTGCTCTACCCACTCCCTGGTAAGGGCGCATTTAACTCCCTGCCCCTACCCCTGCCAGATCCTGCCAGTCCCAGCCCGCCTGCCACTTTCCGAGCTCTGCCC